CTTTCTGTCTCTCTGTCTTTCTGGCAAGTACACACACCCTATAGCAAAAACCTCTCCAAAAGAAAAAAAAAGCAAAAAACCAAACCCAAAATAAAAAACAAAAAGCCACCTTGGTGATTTGCTTAAAAAAAAAAAATCAGTATGTGGGAACCAGCAGTTAGTGTAATGGCTATGTCGCTGGATTCCCACGTAGTCAACCGCGGTTCGCATCCCAGACCCGGTGGCTTAAAACTCACGCCGGGCGCATGTGCGTATGTGCCCAAGATCCCGAGAGGAGAATGGAGGAGAAGGAATTGCGGCATGACCATCCCCCCTGGGGGGTGATTTCTCGCTTTCTGTCTCTCTGTCTCTCTCTGTCTGTCTGGCGAGCGCATGCGCCCTATAGCGAAAAAAAAAAAAAACTCTAAAAAAAAATCAGTATGTAAGCTGAAACTGCAAAGAGAAGGAAATTAGTGGGAAAATCGTTATCAGATAGTAATGGGAAAATTGTTCTGTGACCTTTAAAAATAATGTCAAAACATTAAAATGTCTGTTATGGTCTGCTATAAATGAATAAGGAAATTTAAAAAACAGTAAAACTGAGGTCAGCAGATGGTGTAGTGGTTATGTTGCCAGACTCCCACATGGCCGACCACGGTTTGAAGCCTGGACCTGGTGGCTTGAAATTCACGCTGGGCACGGATGTGTGTGTGCCAAGATCCCAGAAGGAGAAGGGACTGGGGTGCAGGCATTCCCCCTGGGGGGCGACTTTTCACCTTCCCTCTCAATGTCTCTGTCTCTCTTCGGTGAGTGCATGTATCTTAAAGGAAATCTCTAAAAAATTTTTTAAAATATAAAACTGGTATTTATTTAGTACATTGTAAGTTAAAAACATTGAGACTTATGGGCTGGCTGATCACACAAGAGTAAAACACAACATTCTGCAAGGCTGACGCACGTGGAAGGTTCCAGGTTTGCAACCAGAGACCTCCCTGAGTACTCTGGGCACGTGTCTGGCCATGTTCCAGGGCTGCCTGAGGCTGGGGTGGAAGCAGTGTCGAGACCCTGCCAGAGGTGCCCTCTGTCTCTCTTGAACATGGAGAAAACAAACAAACTTAACAGAGAATTCAAGTGTTGTCTTTTTTATAAAAGCTTACAAAAGGAGAAAAAATGACCCGGAGTGGTCTGGGCAATGCTGCTTTCTCCTGGAGGCTGAATTCCTGATACCAGCCCTTCTTCTATGCCTTGGCGAAGTGTCAGAGTCCCTTGAAAATGGAGAGCAGCTCCAGCATTTACACCTGTGCCTTCCAGGCTGTGAAATATCTCTGCGAGTTCCTCAAGGTCAGGTTCTGGCTGCCCTTACTTCCTCGGGGACTCCTTCATCCTTGTCTTTAGAACCACTTTGCTCACTTATGCTGATGAGTCCCGTTCAGGTAACCTCTCCAACACTGACTGCAGCAGCGTCGCCCTCAGGGTCAGCCATTTCTTCACCTTTTACTGTCTTCCTCTTTGTTGAACTTTCATCTTTGTTGGCCAATTCCCTCTGTTGATTACCCATGTTTGTAAAATGTCACCTAGTTTATCACTGGGCGGGAGGCAGGCCTCAGACACAGGCCTTGCTGTCTGTGCCTGAACGGAGCATCACGCGCGGTGCCCCGGCGACGACAGACTTTGGAAGACACGACTGGTCACTGATCACTGTGCATCTGCTATTTCCCCAGTGACCTGTGGACTGAAGGGCCAGCAGCAGACGTGCCCTTGCTGTCATTACTTAAGGTTCACACAGCACGGCAGCTGCCATTTCCACTGAGTTGATGAGGGAGTGGTGTTCTTCAGCTGAACCTGAAACACTCAGGTTGCAACTGTGTCATTATCGCATGTATGTTTGTGCATAGGCTGTTCTAAGGGCCATCGCCAGATTGTTACAACGGCTTTCTCTGGCACTGGGCTAGGGACTTACAATAAACTTTTTTTCAATTTTTAAATTTATTAATTCATTTTATTTATTTAAATTTTTTGAGAGGTTTCTGCTATAGGCTGCGTGCTCTCGCCAGAAAGACAGAGAGAGACAGAGAGACAGAAAGTGAGAAATCACCTCTCAGAGGGGATGGCCACGCCACAATCCCTTTTCCTCCATTCTCCTCTCAGGATCTTGGGCATGCACGCACATGCGCCCAGCATGAATTTAAGCCACCGGGTCTGGGACTCGAACCATGGTCAACTACGTGGGAGTTTAGCAACATAGCCATTACACTAACTGCTGGTCCCTCATTCACTTATTTTAATCTTACCAGAGACAGAGAGAGAGAGAAAATGAGAAAGCAAGCTACCAGGTCGGGGACTTGAACTGTGGCCAGCCATGTGGGAGTATCCAGCGCCTCAACCACCACGCCACCTGCTGGTTCTGCAATAAACTTTAATATGATTCCATTTTTAATTAATTTATTTAGAGGTTTTTGCCTTAGGGAATGTGCACTTGCTGGAGAGAGACACAGACATATGAGAGGGAAAGTGAGAAATCACTCCTCAGGGGGGATGGCCGTGCCGCAATCCGTTCTCCGTTCTCCTTCTGGGATCTTGGACACGCACGCATACGTGACTGGTATGACTTTCAAGCCACCGGGTCTGGGACACAAACTGCAGTCAGTCATGTGGGAGTTCAGTGATGGAACTGCTGTGCCATCTGCTGGGCCGTACAACTGGATTTTATTTTTTAAATGAGGCTGTGATGCACAGACTCTGGAATCTGGCAGACTTTGGACTGAAGCTGTTTCTTAGCTGTGTGACTCCTGACAAATTACGAAACTGTTCTGAGAATCACTTCTGAAATGTGATAATGATAGTACTGCTTCGGGGTTGCCATGAGAAATACATGAGATAGCACACAGAGATCACTTAGCGTGGAGCCTGGTACACAGCGCTCAACGAATGCTGCTGCCGCAATTACTTAAACGGAGGATGGAGGCCGCTCAGGTGACTGGGCAGCACCGAGGAGGCCCAGCCCTGCCAGGGCAGGGGACCGGAGCTGCACCAGATGGCCTTTAGGACACCTTCCAGCACAGTTCCCCAAGCAGTTTAGTCCTTATTGCTGCCAGGCCAGGGGCCTCCCCCATGACCCCGGCACACACCTCCACACGTCCGCCCAGGACGCTACTGGCCACTTGCCTGGCCAGAAGGCACGTGGATGACCCTGGACACCTAGAATGCTCAGTAACCAAAACCCGGTGGCTGACGTCAGCTATGGCCCTGTCCCCCAACCCCGTTGGGCTAACTTTACCAAGCAGCCTCTGTTGACACCAGATAAAGTTCAAAACCCCCTCAGCCTGGCCTTTGGAGCTGGCCTGAATCCAGACTTTGTTCCGGAGTTCCACCCTCTTCTGAACTACAAACTCTTTGCTTTTGAATGGATGTCGCCCACCTTTGCTCGAGCTGTGCCCCCTGCCTGGCCTGGCCTGGTCTGCAATCCCACCCACTTGCAGGGCTTGGCCCCAGCTCTGCCACCTCTCTGAAGACTCTGTGGTCACCCAGGCCCGCCTCTGAATGGAAGGCAGGGACTATGCGCCTGACCCCCTTGTGCTAAATTCTCTAATCCTCAGCACAGCCTATTAGGACGGTATTACTGTATTATCTTGCTTAAGAGGAGAATGAACAAGGCTCGCTTGGCCAAGAGAGTGCAAGCTGGGATTCAAACCCCAGTTCACCTGTTTTCTTCCTTTTTTTTTTTCTTTTTGCCATAGGGTACGTGCTCTCATCAGAAAGAGACAGAGACAGTGAGAGGGAAAGTGAGAAATCACTCCCCAGAGTGATGGCCCTGCCTCCGTCCCTTCTCCTCCATTCTCCTGGGATTTGGGGCACTCAAGCACACATGCCCAGTGTGATTTTCGAGCCACAAGTCCAGGACTCAAACTGGTTGGCTATGTGGGAGTCCAGCACCTTAACCACTACGCCACCCGGTGGCCCCCAGTTTGCCTGTTTTCAAAGTCCAAAAGCTTCTCCACAAGTTCCTCCCCCCAGGTGGGTGGAACCTCTATCAGCTCTTTGGCCTGCAGGACACTAGCCCCTTGTGGGGCAAAAGTTGTGCCTTCTCTAGCTCCGGCAGCAAGGTGATGGGGCTTCCCAGATCACCTGCCAACTAGGAAAATTAGGACATTTGGTTTTGGCATTTCTCAACGGGGGCACACTTGGTCTTGGCGGTGAGGTGGGTCCTCACTGGGCAGGGCTCTGTGGTGTCTTGAGGGGCATTTAGTATCCCTGGGCTCATCGTGCCAGGAGACTCCCCCCAGTCACTGAGACAAGGCAAACCACGACCTCCCTCAAATAAGGGGGACAGGTAAGGGGGCCCCGTGCCCAGGCAAGAACAGTCTGCCACACAAACCACCACAGAAGAGCAAAGCTGGGACTTGGGTGGAGTGGTCCCAGCTCTGCCGGGGACAGCAACAGGCCCTCGGTCACACCATGCCACAGCTGCTCTGTGCCTCGGCTTCCTCATCCGTACGGTGGGGATGATAATGCAGACAGCGATGGGAAGCCCGCACGGGTGCAGCTCACAGCGGCTTGTAGTGACAATAAGCTACGAGCGCTTAAACCTGTAGGCTTTCACAAAAACCATTTATCCCAATAAGATGGAAAAGTCTCAGGCAGAGACAGAGCCCTGAGGTTTTTTTGGATCCCTGGTTTACCCCAAGGGAAATGACGGCCCGTCTGCAGCGACCTAGCAAGCACACCGGCAGACACAGGTCCCCTCTGCTCTGGATTGGCAGAGAGAGCAGGCCATCTGGAGCCCGGACTGCAGGTTCCCAGGCAGGAGGGGTCAGTGGGTACTCCGCATGAGGAACAGTAAATATCCCTCCCTTATTCCTCTCAGCACAGGATCCAGATCCCAAATCAAAATCACACCCTACAGGCAATGTTACATATGAAAACCCACAGAAGGTAGACAGACAGCCCAGCAGTAACCTTAGAGAAGGCTGCATCCATTTGACAGGTGGAGAAACTGAGGTCAGCCCAGGGAAGTGACTCACCCCAGTCAGCTCTGGAAAAGCACAGGAGGCCCCCAGCTGAGAATCCAACCTCGAACCACTGTCCAGGAATGGGAACGTGGGATGAGTGGTTTGGAAATTTTCCAGGGAGCTGCCAATGCTGCCCAGGAGTGGGCTGTGGTCCCACGTTTGTCAGAGCAGGCCTGACAGTTACTCCTCTCCAGACACAGCTTGGCTGATTTTGATTGGGCTATAGATTGGGGTCCTACCCACTCCTGTCCAGCTTGAGGTCCCAGCACGCTGACGATCTGAGCACCCCAGCAAGTACAGACAGCTAGGCAGACAGGAGGAGCCTCCGTCCTGGGGCCGGACACCGCTGTTTACACAGGCAGAGTTTCTGAGTCAGCCAGGAGGCTGCCCTGGGACAGAATGAACCGGACAAGTTCCATGTGATCATTCTCTTTGCTACACATAGTGCTCCGTCCCTCGTCACCCCACCTGGATTATACAACCAGGAGCCCTATTCTTTTGAGGTTCAGGAGGTTAAGTAAAGAGTTGAGGGTGGGAAGCCACGTCAGCTTCTAAGGAAGGGTTTCTTCAGAAGGAACAATTCACACAGAAGCTAGAATGAATGTCTCTAACCAGCACACAGACACCGACGGCAACCACTTACGACGGTTCCACCTACGACTGTCCGACTTTAGGGTAGTAGGAGAGCAACACACGTTCAGGAGACCGTACCGTGAATTTTATTCACAATTCTTTATAATAACTTCATTATAAAATAGGTTTGGGCCAGCCCCAAGGCCTAGTGGTTAAGGGAGCCAGATTCCATGTAGCCAACCACACGATTTGAAAAACACACCTTAAGCATGTGCATGGATGCCCCCAATCCCCGAAGGATGGAGACATGGAGGAGAAAAGCCCACGAGTGCCTCCCTCCCTCTGTCTCTGCGGCCCAGTGCACGTGCCTTGTCACATAAACACGTAAAATAGGCTTTATGTTAGGGATTTTGCCCAGCTGCAGGCTAATGGAAGTGTTCTGGGCACGGTTAAGGACGGCAAAGCTAAGCTGTGATATTTGGTGGGCTAGGTGCGTGCAGGGTATCTTGGCCTTAGGATATTCTCAATCTAGAATGTGTTTATTGGGACATAGCCCTGTTTTTTTTTTGTTTGTTTGTTTTTTGTTTTTGGAGAGGTTTTCACTATAGGGCGCGTGCACTCGCCAGATAGAGAGAGACATAGACAGAAAGCGAGAAATCTCCCCCCAGGGGGGATGGTCACGCCGCAATCCCTTCTCTTCCATTCTCCTCTTGGGATCTTGGGCATGCACGCACACGCGCCCGGCGTGAGTTCTAAGCCACTGGGTCCGGGACGCAAACCGCGGTCGACTACATGGGAGTCCAGTGACATAGCCATTATGCTAACTGCTGGTTCCCGGGACATAGCCCTGTTGTAAGTTGAAGGGTCTCTGTGTTTCTGACCCTGTCAGTTACCCTCAGTTCCTCAGAAGACCCTGGGCAAAGCCGAGGGCATGGGCCTGTCTCCGCTTGTGTATCCAGCCTCCTCATTTCTCCTCCCGGATACTTTACACACTCCTTCCTTCCTTTTTTCTGTTTTGTTGTTTAATTAGACTACCTCGGCAAGGCAAGTCACTCAACTGACTCGCACTTTTTTTTTGTTTGTTTGAAAGAATTATTTTATTTAACTTTATTCATTTATTTGTTTTAATTTAATCTTCCTTGGAGAAGCCCTCTCTGGCCCCACGCTGCCTAAGCAAAATACGCCCTCCTCTGTGCCCGAAAGGCCCTCAGTGCAGGTGCTGACTGTGGGGGGCGGTGTCTAGTGCCCTTGCTGGACCCTGGACGAGGCCTGTGCACTTGTCCCATTCTCCAGCAGACCCTCAGCTCCTGGCAGCTCACCCAGCACTCAGCAGTCCTCAGAGTTTTAGGGCTGAGGACCCAAAGAAGCTGAGGAGAGGCCAAGGAGTCCAGCAACCTCTCCCAGGATGTAGGGTGTAAGAATCTGTAGGAATCCCCTTTGGGCAGCTTTCTTTTTTCTTTTCTCTTTCTTTTTGTTAAATAATTATTTTATTTTGATTTGACCAGAGAGGGACAGAGAGAGAAAGAGAGAGGGAAAGTGAGAAAGATGCTGCCAGGTTCAGGACTCAAACCACCGTCAGCCATGTGGGAGTCCAGCGCCCTTAACCACCACGCCACCTGCCGGCCCCCTCTTTTCTTCCTTAAATGTTTTCTTTCTTTATCGAGGATAGTGTGTACACACATGTGATAGTGAGAACTAGTGAGAGAGAGACAAGCACCTTCCACAGGGTCTGCTCACACCACAATCTCCTCCCTCCAGTCCTCCAGCCTGTCGGATCTTGGGTATTTGCACCTGTGCCTGGTGTGTTTCAGGTGACAGGGCTCAGGACCCCACTTGAGGTTGCCGTACAGGATCTGGCTTCTCTTGAGCAGCATATTACTGCTGCAACACGAAGCTGGTCAGTCAAAACGTTCTCGTCCTCTCTGTGCTTCACTTACCACCCAAAGATGGGGCTAGTAGGACCAGCAGATGGCCTAATGGTTATGTCACTGGACTCCCATGTAGTCGAGTATGGTTTGAGTCCCACATCTGCTGGCTTAAAACTCATGCCAGGTACATGTGCCCAAAATCCCAAGAAGAGAATGGAGGAGAAGGGACTGTGGCATGGACATCCCGTGGGGGGTGATTTCTTGCTTTCTGTCTCTCTGGGGAGTGTGCGCACCCTATAGCAAAAATCTCTCTCTGAAAAAAAAAAAGATGGGGTTAATATAGGTGTAAAGTACAAAGTATGACATGTGGGAGCACTCAGTGTCTGCTACTGTACTCATGACTAGTCGTTTCACAGGTGGGGACGCGAAGGCCCAGAAAGGACAAGTCTACCGTCTCAAGGCTGGAAAGGGGTGACGGAGCCTGGGTTCAGGACTTTAGTAGTTGGTCTTTTTCACTCTCCACCCTCCCCCCACACACACACAGATTCACTTGTTCATCAATAACAGTTAACTATTGTGTGCTGGCCCCTTGCTGGGTATTGTATGACTGACAAGAAAAAGCTTTTCAGTATGAGTAGGATAAGCTAGATTTGTGGGCATTAGTGTGAAATCCTCCAGGGCTCAAATTCCAGCTTTGCTACTTCCTTGCTATGATATTGCTAAGTTCCCTAACCTGTCTAAGTTGCCTCCTCTATTAAAAGGGGAAAGTAGAAGCTCTTGGCAGGAGAGCTGAAACAAGGCATAGGCTCAACACGTGGCCATACAAACAGCTGTTACTATCTTCAGCATCTTACTTAGAATTTCCAATCTGTGCACATGGTAGTCCGGTCTTTCTCCCGCTCCAGGCCCCAGGCCCCCAGTTGTCCTGTCAGAAGAAACCACATTTGACAACTTCTGGCACAGCGCATTCGATGGCGGTGTACACTTTCAGACATCCACACCTACAATCACGGGAGGCCTGCTGGGCTGCTCTAATGGCCTGCTCTGGTGGGCAGAGCCCCAGCTGCCTCTGAGTGCCTGGCCCAGGCTGGGGCGTGTACAGGGGTTCTGACGGGGGACAGTTTTTTCTACCCACCGTTTGGATGTTCTTTTGCACAAACGGTAGGTAGCACTGGTCAACACTGTTCTTTCTGCCCCTTCCTTTTTCACCTATGGTACCTTGGAAGTCGTTCCGTACTGGTGTGCATTCTGAACATTTTTCGTTTTAGCAACTGCACGGTATTCCCGTTGTACGGATTTCTTTTTTAAGCTAGGTTGCCGTTATGGTTATTAACCTGGGAACTGCGAGGGCTCAGGACGGTCAATGAGCTGCTGAGCTGGAATCCGGGAACCTGGGTCTAAGCCCCAGCTCTGCCTCGAACCTCGGTTCGATCTTTCCTGTCTATACAACTGATGGAGAAGGGTGAGTGCAGAGAGGACCAGCCTACCTTGTCCCAGGGTTTCGTCACGGATCGGTGATCAGTGAGCAGCGCGCGCAATTTATTCCAGCCGGCGGCTCAATCATTCGGCGCAAGCCACGCCGCTACACTAGCGGAATCAAACTCATCAAACACTGACGCAGTCAAGCTCCGAACCGTTACCAGGCCTTACTGGCGTCGGTACCCAACCTCGGGGCAGCCACGCTCCGGCGCGGGCTACTCACCCACGCCCCGGCCACTTCACCCGGCGTCGCCAAATGCGCCTCGAAGGTTATAGCTTCTCCTGTCTCTTTAAGGGGGCCGAGCCCGGCTCCACTACTTCCGCCCCGAAGCAACATGGCGCCGGCGCCGGGGCGAGAACAGGGTGAAGGTTGAGAGAGAGCTCCCTCCACAAAGATGGCGACGTCCTGGCCACCGCGTTCGCGCCCGGCGGTGACGTCACTTCCTGGGCGGAGGAGGCTGAGTGGTGCAGTGAGGGACAAACAAAAGGAGGCGCCGGAGGAGCGCTGCGGTCGGCGGCGGGACGGAGCGGCCGGGGGCTGGGGCTGCCTGCTGGGCAGCCCGGCACGGCGAGCCCAGGTGAGTAGGTGCGGTAGGGGAGGGGGCATGAGCTGTCACCTCTCGAAACTCCCACACACACGCCCCTGGCCAGCTGTCTGTCCTCCGGCGCTGCGGGCAGCTCGGACTCTGCCCGCCACAGCCGGTCCCCAGGGCGCCTCCCGCGACCGCTCCATTTGGCCTACCTCCGGGTCCCCGGTGCCCGAGTCTTGCGGCCCCACCCTCTCCCCGTGCCGCGGCGCGCGAGCCCCCTCCCAGGCACCCCCGAGCCTCCTTGCGCTCTACGTACCGGGAGTTTCCGCCTCGGCTGCCCCAGTCCCCTTGCCATCCCCTGGGTGCCCCCAGATCCTCTCTCCTCCGCACACACTCCCCCCTCCCCAGGGGTTCCACCTCTCTGCCGGGTCTCTTGGTTCCCAAAGGTTCCACCGGCTGTCTTGTCCTGGCTCCCGCCCCCAACCCCCGTTTCCCTGGACCGCTCCCTCCTCTTGATCTGGTGGGAACAGTGCCCTAGCTTGGGCGCAGGATCCCTTGCTAGGCACTTGGGGCGTCTGGACTGGGGTTCAGGGGAAGCCGTATCCGGCTCAGAGACGCCAGACCCTGCCGCCGTCCTGTTCCCGCAGGGGTCCAGGAACCAGTTGTGAGGTCCAGCTGTAGGGCAGCCGGGCGTCCGCTCCGGGCTAGCAAAATGTAGCTTGGGGTCCTTGAGGCTCGTGGCTGTGCTGGTTTTGTCGACTGTGTCCCCCCTTGGTCTGGACTGCAAGGAGCCAACGTCAGACCCCTTCTCAGCTGATGCAGCTGTTGCCTTTTTTGGGAAGGAGAGGGGTTGGGGGTTGTCTGGCAGCCTCCTCCTAGTGGGGACTGGACTGGAAGGGCGGGGTGGTTCCTGGGTGAGCCACACTTCCACCGCTCCTTCCCGTGCCCTCCCTCAGGAAGCCTTTGAGGACAAGGTGCGGAGGGAGAGAGAGCCTGGTGGGGTGTGGGGACTTTGGGCCTGAATTGTGGAGGAGGCGGTTCAGGGTGCTGACAGTTCAGAGGGGCCTCTTCTCCTTTTGCTATCCGTACTACTCTTAACCACTGCCAAACTGCATTCCGTTCCCCAAGCCCGACAGACTTTCGAGCCGGAGCGGGAGGCCAACTTGGTGCTCCTTCCTGTGGAGAGGATGGGGGAGTGGGCAGAGCTGGTGGCTCAGTCACACTGGTCTGCGTCTGTGAAGGTCAAGGCTTCCTCTTCTCACAAGGGGAGGCGAGGACAGATGACTGGCGCTGGACTGGCTGTCCTGAAGATGCTGGGATGAATGACTGGCCTCACCCTCCCTGTCTTCCTAGCCCTAGAGCTTCCTGGTGTTGGGGTCTAATGCTTCCCTTCCTTCCCCGGACTGTGCAGTGTAGAGTAGGGGCCCCAGAAATGTTCGTGACTTCCCCCGGAATCCAGCCAGATTTGCCCTTTCTCCATCCCTTGGGCACACATCCACAGGACGCGTTTTCCTTTGCAAACTTTGGTCTTTCAGGACAGTAGGGGCTCCCAAGGATTGCCCCAGTGGGTTAAAACTTGGGGCTCGATAGGCAGGCCTTGGGTTGCTGCCTGGCATGGGCTGGACCTCACCTGTAGGAGCTGAAGGGACTCCTTCCTCTGAGATGGAGGAGACTCCTGGTTTTCACATGGGGACACTGAGGCACACACCGGTGGGCTAAGATGTCTTGGGGACTCAGGGTTTGATGCGGGGCCTGGTACCCCAGCTCTCCTTAACTCACTCATTCCTTTAACCATCCTGTCCTGGCCCAGGGATGGTGCTAGTAAGACACAGTCCCTGGTCTCTGAGCCACAGTCTGGGAGAAGAGCAGATAGGGTGCCCAGCATAATAACAGACATATTACAGGGGCAGCCTGGAGGAAAGAGGATTTGGCTTTGGGTGAATATGTAGAGGGTGGTCAGGGTGCACTTCCTGAAAGACGATCATTGGCAGGAAGTCCAGAGGCCCAGGTTCTGGTCCCAGCTCTGCTGTGGCCACGTGACTGCACTGCCCAGCCTCAGCAGGTGTCCCCGTCCTTGCCGAGGAGGATGGGCAGGGATAGGTTGGCGCGGATGGCCTCTGTGCCTGCGTATGCCCAGGTGCATTACTGCCTGGTGGCATCACCCGACTGAGCTGCTGGGTGCTGACCTGACCCCTGTGGGGTGGGGGCTGACTTTGGCTTCTGTCCTCCCAGCATGGTGCCTGGAGCAGGGGAGGGGCGATGCATTCTCTGTGGCACAAGTGGTTGAAGGGCTTCTCCATCCCTCCTAGGTCTCTCCTAGGTCCCCCCAGGGGCCTTCATCTTCCCGCACCCTCCCGCTTCCAGCCTAGTGATCACCGCTCTCCCCAGCCTGCCCCTGGTGTGCCGCTCTCCCCACAGCTCTGAGCGCGAGCCTGGCATGTGCTGGATGCTCGCTGAATACTTTTGATAGATGATGGCTGGATCTTGTGTTTGACTTAAGAGTCAGACTGTGTCTTCGCCTGACCCACAGAGGCCCATGTCTTGCCACTCTTCACATCCAGCTCTGTGTGTATGTGTTTTTTTAAATATAGATTGGTCCATTCTTTTTTATGCTATGATTTTTTTGAGAGGTTTTTTGCTATCAGGCACATGCACTTGCCAGAAAGACAGAGAGAGACAGAAAGTGAGAAATCACCCCTCAGTGGGGGTGGCCACGCCACAGTCCCTTCTCCTCCATTCTCCTCTCCGGATCTTGGGCACGCACGCACACACACGTGCCTGGCATGAGTTTAAGCCACCAGGTCCGGGACTTGAACTGCGGTCAACTACATGGGAGTCCAGTGACAAAGCCATTACACCAACTGCTGGTCCCAACTATAATTATTTATTATATTTTATTTATTCATTCATTTATTTTAATTTGACCAGAGAGAGACACAGAGAAAGAGAGAAGGAAAGTGAGAAAGCAAGCCACCGGGTGGGTCCAGGACTTGCACTGTGGTTGGCCATGTGGGAGTGTCCAGGGCCTTAACCACCACGCCACCTACTGGTCCCCCAGGTCCAGCTCTGGGTCGAGCCAGGCTGACCTGCTGAGCTTTGTCTGGAAGCCATGTTCTCTGCCCTCCAGGCAAACATGTGCTGCTCCTTCTGCCTGGAGTGCTCTTCCTCAGGAGCCAGCTCAGGCAACTTCTCCAGGAAGCTTTCCTGACCCCACTAGTCTGGGTCTAATGCTTCTCCTGGATGCCCCTCAGCAGCGCCCTGGGCTCTCAAGAGTGTAATTGCTGACTTGGCATCTCCTCCGTAGACCAAGTTCAGGGGGGAGGGTGCTATCTGTATCTCTGCTCCCTGGAGCCCCCCCAGCCCAGGGCCTGGCAGCGAGCGGGCTCTCGGAGGATGCCGGCAGCACAGCAGGTAACCGACGGTCACACACGCCCACTGACTAGCTCTTGCCTCCTCGTAGGGAGGCAGCGTCCATGGAGCAAAAGGAATGCCAGGACCCTGCGCAGGCAGACGTGGGCCAGCCTCGGCACCGACAGCCAACACGCAGATAGCAGAGCCGTCCTCGGGTAAGGACTGGGCCCCTCTCCCGGCCAGCCCGCGCCGGCCTCTGGTCAGGTGCCCTCCCGGCCTGGGAGCAAAGGGCAGCATCTCCGTCTCTACGGTCCTTTGCTTTTCGTGCTGTAGAACCCAGGAGATTCCGGCAGACGACAGAATTAGTCCCTTCCCCCTTCTGCCTCAGCGGCCAGCCAAGCAGTGTCTGGCTGTGGTCCTCTTTGAACGCTGATGTTTGATTGCAAATCTGTTTCCCCCTCACCTCAGAGCTTATCAGCCTGGGCTGCAAGTGCCTCGTGCCCGCCTTGCCTGGGCTGTGTTCCGTGGCTGCAGTCTCCTCGGTCACAGTGGGGAGGTGACCTGGAAACAGCGGCCTGTTGCTCTCCTCGCTGCAGGACTTCTCAGTGCCTGAGTGTCCTGAGCTGAGCGCAGTGAGTCTCTGAGAGGGAGCGAGCATGTCGTTTTCCCACACTTGTTTCATTACATAGACATCTTTGGGGATTGGGGTTCCTTGGCTACGCTTTGGAAAATGGCTCCCAGCGGCAGTAGAGGCACTGGTTAGAACCTGGGTATGAGCCCTGGCTGTCATGTGCTGCTGAGTGACCAGACAGTCCCTGTACCTCTCCACTTTTTTATTTTTCCCATTTTCTTTTTTTTTTTATTCCTAATAGAGAGAGTTAGAAAGAGAGGGAAGCACCTACCGTGGGACCTGCTCGCAGCATGCTTCCCGTCCTCCAGTCCTCCAGCCCATCGGACATGGGGCACTTGCAAGCATGCTCGGCATGTTTCAGGCTGACTGGGGCAGGATTCAAACCGCAGTTGCCATGGGGGATTGATTTCTCTTGAGCAGCATGCTACAACTGCCACAGAGCTGGCCCTCCTCATTAAAAAAGAGGTGATCTTAGCACTCACCTCCCTGAACATTCTGAGGGTGACACCTGTCGATGTCGAGAAGGCTCTTCGCAGTGTGTGTCCCAGAAGGTGCCTGCCTTTCCTCCCCGCACCATAGCCTGGGAGCGTGGACTGCCAAGTAACTGCCAAACACAGCGGGGGTGTCATTTGGTCATTTGTGGGCACGTGGGCCACTGTCCCCACTGACAGATTTGGAAACAGACTCAGAGTAGGGAAGCAGCGTGCCCAAACTCAGAAAGGACAGTAGGGACATAGGACTAGAACCTGGATCCTGGACTCCTAGGCCATGGTCCTTCACTCTCTGCCCTGAGGCCTCCCTACATCCTCCACCCTCCTCAGCTGTTTGTGAAGAGAGGCCTGAGCATGTCGAGCCTGGATTTTAAAAGAAATAATAATTTTTTTTTTTTAATGATTACCAATGTAGTTCCACGTTTATGTTTTTATAGTGTTTGGATTTTAACATCGTATAAAAAGTCTCTCCTAATCTTCATTTTCAGAGATGTGGACGGGGGTGGGGGGATATATTCTTCCACATCTATTATATTCCTACCATATGCTTATTTTCACAAAAATTAAGCTGTGTCCCAGCTACCGGTTTGCAGCTTACTTTCGTTTTATTTGATGGTATCCCTCGACAAGGGAGGTTGCTCTGCGGTTGAGTCCAGGCCATTCGTCCTCCCGCCCCCTGGCCCCAGCCCTCACTGGACTGGAGTTTGGAGCTGTCTGTCTGGGCATCTGCAGACACAGAGGGAGGCGGGAAACGCCTGGTGTGTGAGTTTGTTGACACCGCCGTTTATTGGGACGAGGTCAGCAAAGCCAGGCCCTGCCCTGTAGGAGTTTCCTGTTGGTTTTGAGGAACTCCGTCTCCTGAAGAGGGGAGGCGAGGAGCAGGAAGCAGCAGGTCCTGCTAATCTGAGATCAGAATTCCTCCTCCGTGCCAGGGACTGCATGGTGGGAACTGCATGGGCCGGCCTGAGAGGTCTTGGCCTCCACTGTCTGTCTGAGGCAGGGTCCAGGTTGGGGGTCTGGGAGACTCACCAGTCAGGTCATTGTGTTAGAGTAAGCCTGGCCCTTCCTGAGCCCTCAGGAATGTGTGTCCCTGACTCAGTTTACCTTTGCAGTACCTGGGGTACTTTTGCCTCTTTAGTTCTGTGGCTCTTTGGTGGGCTGGGCCCAGTGGTCTGCAGGTGAAGATGCTCATTTGGGGCATAGATGATCCCAGGACTGGTTTCAACCGGTTTCAAGCCCAAATGTCCTTTGGTGGGATTGAGCTAGGGATGAAGTCTTGCCCAAGTCCCCAAGGCCTCCCCTCACCCAGCGCTTTCCTTGGGCTCGCTGTTCGCTCTTCCTCTCCCATGTGTCGTCTTTCCATTCTTCCCCAGAAACCCCTCCTCTCTCTCCTGCGGGCAGAGCCCTCAGTGTGGCCCTTGCATAGGTGAGACTCAGCTCCTCCAGCTTCCCCAGCTCCTCCTCCCTGGCAGCAGCGCCTTCGAGTCCCACGATTGTCCTCATTGCCCGTCCCTAGGGCCGGGGCTGTGCTGGCTTGCTGTGGGCAGTCTCCTACCCATACTCTCGCCTCAGCCTGGGATCGGAGGTGGTTCTCTCATTTTATAGGCTCAGAGGAACATGGTCTCTTGCCAAAGTTGTACAATTTAGAGATGGCAAGGCCAGGATGCTGGTCTATTTCGTTCTGTAACCTGTACTGTTTCTTTTCTTTTTTTTTTTTTTTAAGTTTTGCTTAATTAATTAATTAATTAAGTAACTTACATTAATTTGCCAGAGGGTTCCTGAACTCACTAGAGGGGGTGGGATGAAAAGCACCCTCCTCCCATGGGGCATGGTCATGCTGCAATCCGTTCTCCATTTCTCCCTCCCGTTGGGAGTTTCGAAACGTGCACACTCACGCCCCCAGTGTGTTTTCAAGCGACGGGATCTGGGACGTGAACTGCACCGTTGGCCATGTGGGATCAAGCCACTTTAACCAGCACACCATCAGCCATTTTACTTATCACGGAGAGTGAGCGTGAGCGAGAGGAGCACCTTGGACAGTTTTGTCAGTTCATGGTTGCCTCCCTCCAGCCCTCTAGCCCTCCAGCTCAGGGTTCCAGGCATGTGTGCACACACCTGTAATGTTTTCATGTCAATCTGGGATCTGAACCTGGGTCAGCCCTGACTTCCACTACTGCAGTTCAGTTTGCTACTGACTATGCTGCCAGGCGGGGCCAGCCTGTGCTTTCTACTCCCCACTCCAGTGTTTTTTTTTTTTTTTTGAGAGAGGTTTTTGCTATAGGGTGTGTGCACTCACCAGACAGACAGACAGAGAGATAGAAAGCGAGAAATCACCCCCCAGGGAGGATGGTCACGCTGCAATCCCTTCTCCTCCATTCTCCTCTCGGGATCTTGGGCATACACGCACATGCGCCCGACGTGAGTTTAAGCCACCGGGTCCGGGACTCGAACTGCGGTCGACTACGTGGGAGTCCAGCGACATATCCATTACGCTAACTGCTGGTCCCTCCAGTGCATCTTTTTTTTTTTTCTGGGTTCTCAGGCTTCTGGGGGTACTTGAGAGTCCTCTTAAGAGAGCTAGTTTGAAACACTGTATCCCCAAGACCCTGTATCCATCCCAGACCTCCAGAGTTAGGCCTGGTGGGCCGAGTGAAGAATCTCCACTTTGAAGAAGCTGCCCTGGCAGTGGTGAGGCCGGTGTTCTGCAGGCCATGCTGGGAAACACTGAGCAGAGGCCTCTCCTGCAGCCTGGTCCCCGCCTCTGGTGAATGGTCTGTCTGCCGCCAGGACTGCTGCCCTCGGTGCCGAGCGAGGCCGGGCTCCCCAGGACCGGAACTGTGCACTTGCTTCTCAGTGACTCCCAGTGCGTGTGCATGCGTGTGCTGGGGGCAGGGGCTGAACCTTCTCTCATCAAGAGGTGTGGAGCGGAGGTTTCTGGGGGACTTTGAATCCAACCACAGATGTTCCCTGCTGTCTTTTCCAGCGCGTTTCTACTGCATCTCATGTCTCGCAGCAAGTTCTACATCTAAGTGTCTCTTGAGGGCTTAAAACCTCAAAATTAAATTGCTTGCTGCAATATAGCCTCACGCCTAGAGCGACGTTCCACTGGAGTAAAAGCGGCAGTAAAATTCCACAGCTTTCACATGCCACCTGGACACCTCAGAGGTGCAGCTGCCAAACCCACACCCTCTGACAGTCGGCATGACAAATGTGCTGACTGGCAGGGGTGGGACCTCCGGGAATCCCGGCCCTGTGGGGCACCTCACATCTCCCTGTTGGCTCCCCAGGTGGGATCCTGGGGCAGCCCCGTCCAGCACAGGGAGCAGGGCGGCAGCTCGTCTGCCTTAGCCAAGCCCCCGTCTTCCCCGTCACCTGCTGTGCCTGGCCAGGGCCCTGTCCCCTAGGAGCCTCTCTCAGGCAGCGGTGACCTGTCTAGGAAGGCAGAGGGGCTGTTTATAGCAGCTCCCAGGGGCCCAGACTCAGAGCGGGTCTCCCTTCCTTAAGCAGTCCCTAAAGGACAGAGTATGGCCTGCTCAGGTCCCCGAAGGAGAGGAGAAGCACTCCCGAGAAGCACGTCCGCCGGCCTGGGTGTCCACGTAGGCCCCCGAGACCTGCTTGCCTTAGAGGCGTTGGCACGGTGGCAAGTCAGACCTGCGGAGGACCTTCCCAGCATCCCCTGGCCTGGGGCGGGTCGTGTAACTTCTCTGGGCTTCAGACTTCACACTGCAAAGGGGCTGAGGGACCTGTGTGATGAGGCAGTGGCTACGTTACAGACCCCCATCCAGAAGCCGTAGTGGTCTACCCACTCAGTCCTCACCACCACCCTGTGAGAATTAGACTGGCCAGCCCATTTTACAGATGAGGCAACCAGAGTCCTGCCAGGGGAAGTGACCTCCCCAAGGCCACACGTGTGCGCTGGGGAGCCGCAGTACTCAGCACTTCCTCGTGGTCAGTAACTGGAAGCTCTAGCACCTGCTGGACCTTGCAGCCACAGGGCTGTCCCTCAGGTCACCCTTCACTCTGGAAAGCAGGCCACACCCTTGGGAGTTTGCATGAGGACGAACCTGTTTGGGAAGTCCAGCCCTCCTAGGAG